TCCAACAAAGGATAATAAAAGGAATTTTTTAAAAATTAGATGAAGGGCGCCTGGGTGGCTCAGTTGGTTAAGCGACTGCCTTCGGCTCAGGTCATGATCCTGGAGTCCCGGGATCGAGTCCCGCATCGGACTCCCTGCTCGGCAGGGAGTCTGCTTCTCCCTCTGACCCTCCTCCCTCTCATGCTCTCTGTATCTCATTCTCTCTGTCTCAAATAAATAAATAAAATCTTAAAAAAAAAAATAAAAATAAAAATAAAAATAAAAATTAGATGAAAATAGTGATTATTGTAATAAGAGAACACAAAAGTCAAGGATGAGAGATAAATATTAGGAGGAAAGGGAGTGTTTCCCTGAACCAAATGCCTATAAAATTAAAAACTATTATCTACTGTATTACCAGGTAACTAATGGCCCTGCATAGAGCAAGGTTAGGAGAGAATGGGTGATTTCAGTGCTTTCAGAAGTGAGTAGCACATCCAGAGTGGAGAAAGTCGATGGTTCCTGCAATCATGGTTATGAAGGGAAGATGAGAGCTGCCACAGATAGTCATAGGTAGAGCTTTTTGAACAATAGGTTTATTCAAATATTAGTTCTCTTCAAAGAGCCACAGTAATTCTTTGCTCTAGTAAATAATCTTTTTAAAAACTATTATTAAATAATGTTAAAGTAGAAATCTTTAGGGCGCCTGGGTGGCTCAGACGGTTAAGGGTCTGCCTTCGGCTCAGGTCATGATCCCAGGGTCCTGGGATTGAGTCCCGCATCGGGCTCCCTGCTCCTTGGGAGCCTGCTTCTCCCTCTGCTTCTCTCTCTCTCTCTGTCTCTCATGAATAAATAAATAAAATCTTTAAAAAAAAAGTAGGAATCTTTAAAGATAAAGAATGAGACTAATACTCGTTTAGTTTTGTTCCCTTCTAACCACCCCCAAAAAACAGAAAAAGCAGTTTTTAAAAAGAATAAACACAAAATGGGGTGTCTGGGTGGCTCAGATGGTTAAGCGTCTGCCTTCGGCTCTGGTCCTGGGATTGAGTCCTGCATCGGGCTCCCTGCTAGGCGGGGAGCCTGCTTCTCCCTCTGCCTCTGGCTCTCTCTCTTCTCTGACTCCCATGAATAAATAAATTAAAAAAAAAAAAAAAAAACATTTTAAAAAGAATAAACACAAAGGACAAAGCACTGGAAAAGAAACAACAATAAAAATCTGGCAAAGTTGAAAGTCAGATAGCGATGAGAGTTAAAAGAAAAATGAGTAACAGGCCAGCTCTGAGAAAAGCTAAGAAGCAACCTGATTACCCAAGTGCTTTGCAAAGGGTATCCCAGAAGTAGAAGTATAGAAAGTATAGTATAGAAATATCTGAAAACAAGACTGGCTGAAAGTCTGTTCAAGATGAAGTTAAGAGTATTTCCAGGTCAGGGGCACCTGGGTGGCTCAGTCGTTAAGCGTCTGCCTTCGGCTCAGGTCATGATCCCAGGCTCCTGGGATCGAGCCCCGCATCGGGTTCCCTGCCTCGTGGGAAGCCTGCTTCTCCCTCTCCCACTCCCACTCCCCGTTTGTGTTCCCCTCTCTCGCTGTGTCTCTCTCTGTCAAATAAATAAAAATCTTAAAAAAAAAAAAAAAAAAGTATTTCCAGGTCAAGATGAAGAACTGAATAAACATTTCTAAATTCCTTTCCCTCCTAATCTCGACTAAAGCTACAATAAAAAGATTTCAAGTAATAAGCCCATTACTGACAGAGAGAACAAGGATAACTGAGTGTAAATTACACAGCTGTGCAGGTATGTACAGTTCTGGAAGCTGGGAAGCAAATGGATTAGTATAATGGTAACTATCTTAATAGATTTAAGAATGCCAAATTTTAAGTCTTCAGTGAGTAAAACCAAGAACCAACTGTATCTATACCACATACCATCAAAAGGCCCAGGAACTGGCAACACCTGGTACAAGTCTGGAGTTTGAGAGGATAAGACACAGAGAACTGGGGGCGCCTGGGTGGCTCAGTCGTTAAGCGTCTGCCTTCGGCTCAGGTCATGATCCCAGGGTCCTGGGATCGAGCCCAGCATCAGGCTCCCTGCTCAGCGGGAAGCCTGCTTCTCCCTCTCCCACTCTCCCTGCTTGTGTTCCCTCTCTCGCTGTGTCTCTGTCAAACAAATAAATAAAATCTTTAAAAAAAAAAAAAAAAAAAAGACAGAGAGAACTGCTTGAAAGCTTGTTAAGCAGCCTTCTCCATTCCAAACCACATTGTCATTGCCTCTCCCCTCCCCCCAGTAGAAGACTAGAGGTATTTCCACTAGTTGGGAGTAAAACAGAAAGACTCTAGACTAAGCAACACCAAACATAGCCCAGGAGTATAGCAATACCAAAAAATGAGTGAATGAACTGAATGCTACAACCACCTAGTTGAGTTCCCTGACTGAGCACCCAGAATATGAGAAGCCAGATTCTTATTTTTTGGGTAGAAGACTAGACTCTTCTCTGAGGAATCTCACCAAGCCAAGAAAGAAATGGAGAAGATACTACTGACAAGGGATTGGAAGGGGGAAGGGAATCACCCTACAAGAAAATTAAAAAGTTGAAAAGCTCCACACATTCATAAGTATCCATATGTTCTTTAATCCAGAACAGAGATCTGAGGAAAACCTCAAACATAAAAAATAGAAAAGAAAGGTACAAAGAGTAAAGGAAAAAAAAAAAGAACTTGAGACATAATATGTACAGAGAAGAAAATTTCACAGAAACTATCATAAATAGCTTCAGAAATGAAAAAGATATTGCACTCATGAAATAAGATGAAAGGAACAAAGAAGGAATCCTTAAAAATTAAGAACATAAGAGCAGAAATGTAAAACTCAAAAAAGGGTTTGAAGACAGAAGTTGAGGACTCACTATCAAGTTGCAAAACAAAACTGTACCCAACCCCCCAAAAAAGAAAAAATTATGATGTCCAGTGCAGGAAAGTCAATATCTGAGTAAGAGTTACAGGAGAGAATAAACAAAGGGAAGAAAATAATCAATGAAATAATTCAAGAAAATGTCCTAGAAAGAAAGAAACTAAATTTGTATATCAAAAGGGTCCACCAAGTACCTACCACAATAGATGACTCACAGCAAGGTATAGCCTTGTGAACTACGGGAACAAACAGAAGAGTCTGCAAGCTATCAGAGAGGGACAAAAGTCACAGAAAAAATACCAGAATAAAAATAATTTGATTTAACAGCAACTCTGGAAGTAAAAGATGGAGCAATGCCTTTAAAATTGAGCAAAAGTGATTTCCAGGCTAGTGTTTTATACCAGCCAAACTATCAAACAAGTGTACGAAGAGAATAAAAATGTATTCAGATACATTCATTGTGTTACTCTTCAATTTGTCTATAGGTTTGAAACTTTCAAAATAAAAAGCTGGAGGGGAAAATTACAATGTCACAGAAAGAGTCAAACATTAATACTGGTCATAGTTTCAGCGTGATGGGGAGCAGGATTACTTTGACAGCAGTCTATCTGAAATTTCCTACTACTGGCACATGTCAATGGCAAGACCAGTAATTGCAAGACCAGTAATTCCACCAGGTTATGTGCTATGAAGGAGATAAGGAGGAAAAGGAGCACATTCAAAGAAAAATGGAGAGTTAACTACTAAGAGGTATTAATTAGGCTTTCCAGAACTTGGCTGACTATAGCTTGCCATAAACTAGAAAAATGAAAACAAAAGTGAAAAATGCTAAAAAGAAAATGGAAAAAGTATTATGAAATAACTAGCTGTAAGGTTAAATAGATCCATTTTACCATGTTTTGTCATTTCTTCAGTAGGAAGCTATATAAATTCACCCTTTCTGGGAAGCTCACTTGAATTTAAGAGTTTTAACCTTTTTATAGCCTGAAAACAAAACATGGTATTTTCCAGTCAGCAATGGCACTTGCTCTTTGGTGTGTTCACATTCTTGACTCATGAGAAACAGACCAGACAGGTACCTCAATATTCAATATTTGAAATATGAAATCAAATCTAGCAATCCCACTTTTGATACATGTATATGTGAAAGTTATTCTTTACACCACTGTTGTGTACAGAAACACATTTATGTTATATACACATGTATGTAAATATGTATATAGAGACTTCACAACACAAAATCAAAAACAACCTAAACACCATCAACAGGAAAATGGTTATATAAAATATAATCAAAAAGTGGAAAACTATACCGCTGCAATAAAAAAGAGAGAAAATTTTTTAATGCACTAACATGGAAAAACCTCTAAGTGAAAAAAGCAAATGTAAAACATACAAAAAATATGCTACTTTGTGTTAAAATAAAAAGATGAGAATATATACTTGAATTTACATAAAAATACTTTAGAAACAAACATTAAAAACAACTGTTTACTCTTTGAAAAGAAGGGTAAAGAATGGGGCATATCAGAGAAAAGGAGGGAGTTGATTTTTGGAATATTATGAATATATGACGTAGTCAAAAACTAAAATACACAAATTAAATCACAAAACATCTTAACAGAAAAAAGGCAGCTCAAGATCAAGTTTTAGTCCCTAGCTTACAGCATTTTAAGGATACCTGAGATTCAAAGAGAACCAAGTAAGAAACAAACTAGTTATTAAAGGGAATGCACTAAATCAAGATTTTACAATTCAAAATTCAAAGGATTCTTTATAATTATTTCAGCTTTAAAACTTAATAGCAATGATACAAACCTGAAGACTGAAGTAGAAAAACCTAAATATACTGAAAAGTGATTCTAGAGAATGTAAACTTTAGGTAATAAATCTAACATTTTCCTGGCATCTATAAATAGAATAACTGAGAATCATAAAATAAAATCATAAATCATAAAATAAAACTTAAAAAAAATTCAAAATGGTAAAATACATTAATAATTTATTCACCAAATGCTCAAAGGTAAAAATGTATTACTACTTAAGGCAACAAAAATTAGGTTACACTAAAGGCAACTACAAGTTATTTACCATGTATAATCAACTACTAGTATTACCTTTCATTTTTGAATGTGTGTTAATCAACGGATCAGAACAAATCCTGCAGGGCCACCATGGGCGTCTCTTGAATTTTGCCCAGATGAGATCTCCAACTTCATACTTCAGTGGCGTAGACTTTTTCTTGGGTTGACACTTTAGACAGACAAAACATGGGGCATCAATAACAATCAAAACCTTTTGAAACAGTGTACCATTTTCTTATTAGCCTTCTGAGAAAGCAGAATTCTACAGAAATCTAGATAAAAACATTACACTTAAAACAATTACAAAGCAAGTACAATTAAATCATTTTGTCTTAATGTTTATAACATAGCGCTTTATAAAGTAGTAGCTCTAAATTTATATTTGTTTTATATAAGCAATCTACCTATGTTCATGGAGAAAATATTTCATTAATAAAAAAGCTAAAAACTGAAAAAGGAAACAATCTTCCCTAGGAAAAGATATTTTTGCCCTAGTCCTTGGATTACAACACAACATGGCAGTGAGGGGGACGGGGTGGATTATAAAAAGAATTTATGAACAATGTCAAGAATCTATGTTCCCAAAACAATGTGTCAATTATATCTCAATATGGGGGTGGGGTGCAGGGAGACTGTGGAGCCTTCTACAGGTGATATTCTACATCCTTCTCAAATAAACATAGACATTCCTATTAATTAACAATAATAGCTCTAATGAAATAATCCTGAAAGCTACAGGCTAGACCCTAGTAATGTCAATGCAACTAACTTGGACTTTTTCCAGGACCTACAGAACAGTCTACTGCACAACTCCAAGGAACACCATTCATGCAGAGTAAATTCAATACGAATCAAGCTCCTTGGAATTGTCTAATGCAGAGACTTCAGCTCCATCTTTTCCCCAAAACCAATATCCCTAATTGATCTGCAATACAACATCCTCCATCTCCACTCTAAATCCATGGCCATGCCTTTAACACACCCATAAGCAGACCTCCTGCCTTAAAATGAACACAGCTCTGTATTTAGTAGGACTGAGCTTCCCACATGGTATACACCACACAAAGGAGTTGCAAGTGTACTGAGATGTCCCTGGGTAGTAGCCAAAAGAAGCACCCAGGGTACTTGGACAAAGATCAACCTCTTCCATTTACTTATTTACTTGAAGGAGACATACAAATAACTATGGTTTTCTCTAAGCGCTATGTATTGAAAAAGGCTTGGTGATCCTCCTTCAGACTCAATCTTCCCTTGTTAATACCTAAAACGGATTAAGCATTCAATAAAGTATATGCTAGATGAACTGACTGAAATCATTCAAATGAATGATGAATATTGCCCCACTGCAGGGATATCAAAGGATTGGGCTCAACTCAATGATTTCTAAGTTACCCATTCAACTTTAAGACTCTGTTTTCAGACAGAAATTCAATTTTATAGAATGCCTATGAATCACATTGAAAATATTGTGATTAGTTCTACAAGTATAGAGTTACTAGGAAATGAGACAGAAACTACATTTTATTCTTTTTTTTTTTTTGAAGATTTTTTATTTTTTATTAGAGAGAGAGAGAGTACAAGCAGAGGGAGCGGCAGGCAGAGGAAGAAGCAGGCTCCCCGCCAAGCAGGGAGCCCGATGTGGGACTCGATCCCAGGACCCCGGGATCATGACCTGAGCTGAAGGCAGACACTTAACCGTCTGAGCCACCCAGGCACCCTACATTTTATTCTTTTAAAGAAAAAAAAGAAAAGACTATTTTTGCCTGTTACCAGTTTGTAAGTCATCAGGAAAAAAATAAGACTTCAGAACTCATTAGTTGGCTTTGAAACTTTAAAAAAACCAAGATACAAAGACAAGACAGGAAAACAATTTTTTTTTTAAAGATTTTTATTTATTTGTCAGAGAGAGCACAAGCAAGGGGAGCTGCAGGCAGAAGGAGAAGCAGACTCCCCACTGAGCAAGGAGCCCGATGTGGGACTCGATCCCAGGACTCTGGGATCATGAGCCAAAGGCAGACACTTAACCAACTGGGCCACCCAGACACCTGAAAACAAATTTCTTATTTGCCTGTACTGAAAACTACAATTTGAGTAGGTTCCCATAAATTTCTGATACAATTTATGATCATTTAATTTATTTGGCAATCATTGGTATTGGCTTATTTATTCAAGTCCTAAGTTATTCTAAACATATTAACTAACGTTTACTTGATGTTTGCTATGTGCTAGATGCTGTTCCTTTTTTAATCCTCTTAAGGTAGATACTGTATTATTACTTATTTTACTGTGTGTCTAAGGTCATATGGTATTTAGTAAGTTGGCAGAGCCGTAATTCGAATCTGGGCAAACTCTCAACCTAATCCAGTAACAATAAAACCCCATGATTGGGGGCACCCGGGTGGCTCAGTCGTTGAGCGTCTGCCTTCAGCTCAGGTCATGACCCCAGGGTCCTGGGATCAAGCCCCGCATTGGGCTCCCTGCTCAGCAGGGAGCCTGCTTCTCCCTCTCCCACTCCCCTTGCTTGTGTCTCTCTGTCAAATAAATGAATGAAATCTTTAAAAAAAAAAAAAAACAAAAAAAACCCCATGATTGCTAAATTCTTTATGACAAATTAAGCCATAATCAATCTATGACATGATACTGGTTCAGTCTTCCCCTCATATTACTCCAACAAATAAATTTTAAAAATCTTTAAAAAAAAAGAAAAACAAATATATATTTATATTTATATGTATAAATATATATATAAACGCCTGTGTGGCTCAGTCAGTTAAGCATATGCCTTCAGCTCAGGTCATGATCCTGGGGTCCTGGGATCAAGTCCTGCATCAGGCTCCTTGCTCAGTGGGTAGCCTGCTTCTCCCTCTGCCTGCTGCTCCCCCTTGTGCTCTCGTGCTTTCTCTGACAAATAAAATCTCTAAAAAACAAAACAAAAAACAAACAAACAAAATATATATATATAACAGTCAATGAGAAACATGAATAAAAAATAGCTTCATTAAATTAATGGTATCATGGATAAAGATTTTCACAAACCTGAAACATTTATTATCTCCATGTTTTTTTTTTTTTAAGATTTTTAAATGTCATCTCTACACCCAACATGGGGCTCAAACTCACAACCCCAAGATCAAGAGTCCCGTGCTCTACTGACTGAGCCAGGCAGGTACTCTCTCCACGTTGTCTTGACTGATTTATCATGTTGACCAAATACTACACTATATGCAAGCCCACTGGAAAATAATGTCTATACAAATACCTACTGTTAATAGTATTATTAATGGACAATAACCAAATCCAACTGACTTTAACACATAAAAAATTAGACACAGGCAAGAATTCCAGACCAAAGAGAGGCCTTCAATTATGAAGTAAAGAAAATAAGAATAAGGAAAAGAAATTCTTTTTAAATATGACTCTTCTCGGGCGCCTGGGTGGCTCAGTTGGTTAAGCGACTGCCTTCGGCTCAGGTCATGATCCTGGAGTCCCTGGATCGAGTCCCGCATCGGGCTCCCTGCTCGGCGGGGAACCTGCTTCTCCCTCTGACCCTCCCCCCTCTCATGTGCTCTCTGTCTCTCTCATTCTCTCTGTCTCAAATAAATAAATAAAATCTTTAAAAAAATAAAAAAAAATAAAAATAAATAAATAAATATGACTCTTCTCTTCAGAAGAGCTTAAAAACTTCACCTTGGAAAGAAAGACATCCAAATACACCAAATTGTTAAACCCATAATTCAGCTACATACAAACTCACTAAACAACCACAATAGAAAGCTCAATAAGAGACACAATGATGAATTCCTAATGCCAAGACACTTGAAGAGTATCAGGGAAGACTCAAGTGAAGAAATGCCATCTGAGCTTAGACTGGCTGGATACGCATATTTCAGAATGGTTCTTCCTAATATCTCTATATGTCCAGCTGGAAGAAATATACTGGTGCTAAGCCTTTTTATATAACTATTGAGCTGAACTGTGCTCACCCAAAAGTATGCCCCACAATATCTGTAAATGAGACCTCATTTGGAAATAGGGTCTTTGAAATAATCAAGATGAAATCAATTAGGGTGGGTTCCTAATCCAAAATAAATGTGTCCTTATAAAAAGGAAAAATCTGGAAGCAGAGAGACAGACATGCATACAAGGAAGATGATGAAGACACAAGGAAAACACCTTCTAAAAACCAAGGAACTCCTGAGGCAACTATACATTAGGAGAGGTGTGGAACATATTCTCACAAGCCCTCAGAAAAAAACAACTTGACATTGCATTTCTAGTCCGCAAAACTGTGATACTATTAAATCTCTGTTGTTTAAGCTACCCACTTTGGGCACTTTATTATGGCAGCCCTAGAAAACCAATATACATAGATTATCTTGCTTAATCTTCACATTATGAAATGGCATTATCTCCAATTTGCAGATAAACTGAGGATCAAAAAGGTTAAATCACAGTAAAAAAGACTAAGATTAAAGCCTGATTAATTCTGAGGCACCTGGGTGGCTCAGTTGTTTAGCGTCTGCCTTCGGCTCGGATCATGGTCCCAGGATCCTGGGATCAAGCCCCACGGTGGGCTCCCTGCTCAGCGGGAAGCCTGCTTCTCCCACTCCCCCAGCTTGTATTCCCTCTCTCACTGTCTCTCTCTTTCTCTGTCAAATAAATAAAATCTTATAAACCTGATTAATTTTAAAGACCATGTTTTTTTAATATAACATTTTTCCTTCAATTTTAACTGAATAAATATAGCCAGGACTTGTTTTCAAAGTGTTTAAAGCAAATCTAAAAACCAATTAGGTTCAAAATCTCCATTTCCATTCTTTTATTGATAGTAACTTACCATTTCAACAGTAAACTTTCCTGTATAAGCTTGTCACTACTATTTTTAAAGGACTGATACTTCTACTTCAATAACAATCAAGAAGTGGCTCTTTAGCTAAAAGTTATGGTTAGAAGACACCTTAGGTAGTATCTTTAAGGACTTCCACTAATGAAATTTTAATCAAAGGTATAAACCAGACTCCATTTCTAAGATAAAATAAGCTCAGGTGGTCCAGGTATGTTCCTGGGCTGTATGGGATAAAACTTAAATTGCTATTTTAATGTTAATTGAACGTTACCACAGATGTCCTTGGACACCAATATCTTTACGTGCATATCCAAAATTTAAGA